ATTATAAGAATATTTTAAAGCAGGCTATGGAAAAGATAGCAGCTTATTTATTAATAGCAGAACCTGATAATTTGGATGAAGTTATTATGGATGCAGGAAAGATGTAGGTTGAAGCTTGTAGTATGGCATCTAATTAATATAAAACTATGATATTCCAATTTTTGAATTGCGCACGTTTTTATTATTAATAAACTAGAACGTTTGCTATATAAATTCTGAGACATCTGATTTTGGCTTATGCCGGTAACTTATTCATTCCGACTTGGTAACTTAACGATCCAGTCATCAGAAATTTTTCAGTTGATCAATTGTAATGTAAAATTACGAAAAATTTCCAGTAGCTCAAAATTTTACTTACAAAGCCACTTTTAATGTTTTAACAAAATTCTCTGCAAAATTTTAGCTAATTTGATCTTTACTGACCTTAATATTAACCATAATCAGCTAAAAGCGTGATTATAAGCCAATCATCACTTGAGAATTTCATGCATGTTCCAGATTAGAGTTTGAAACCAGTTTTATTTTTACATGTCTGTATGTTAAAAACCAGAATAAAATCGGGGTTAACATATGAAAAATAAAACCAGTTCCGGAATCAGATTTGCAGCCAATAAAATATGCTATACAGTTGTCTTTCAAATATGATTTTACTGTACTAAGATTTTTCTATACAAAATCTTTATCAATATATTTTGAATTCACAACATTAATTGTAATTTAATTTATTGTATAAGTATTTTAATTACTTTTGTGGATACTTTTTTCTAACCCGAATGCTCCTTTTGCATCAAATATTAATGCCCTAAGTATTATCATATTTGAGCCAATTGCATTACGACTTGACCTGCTTTAAACATTAGGTTGCTGCAACACGGACATATATCAATCTTTCAGATGAATTATAAAATCGGCATTCACGTTCAAGAATGTTCGTTACAGAAACTTAGATTTCTTAACGTAGAATAATTATATTGTCACTAGTAAGTACCCCCAAATAGGGTTAGACATCCGTTCTTACATTTTTCGTGTTTTTTTTTTTTTTTTTTTTTGCTTAGCTGGGCTGATTCGTGTAAATAATTCACCAGATCTGAAATTGATCTTGCTATGTCGATATCGATACTAACGTTAAGCCTTCACAAATTGCTTAAGTTGAATGAGGCTTATATCATAACTCAGTGATATGTGCTTATATGTCAAATTACACAGAGATCAGCCCAATGAAACAAATAATGAAATACAATAACAAGAAACAAATGGCTAAACCACATCGGACACTAACAATGAATATCGAGAGTCGATTTTATCTGCAATGCTTTAACTTTTAATTAAATGGTTAAGAAGATATGACTGATACAATTTTATTTATTTAAAGTTTTTAGTGATAACTGTAATAATATCGATATTCCGTAAGTACAGATCATCTTACATATCTGAAATGTGGCAATTTTCGAGCCCTATTTGATGATATAATTGTTATTATTTATTGTGTTAAATACCATACTTTAGGTACTTGTATTTAAAAAAACATTAAATAATTAATCGTAATGCTTATTCTCATAACTTCTAAGAAGCAAATAAAGTCACGCAAATTAGGCTTTAAGTTTTTCACAGCTTTATTTACATTTAAAACATGGCTTATAAAATTTTTAAAAACTTAATGGTCAATTTAAATTTACGCTTTTGCCAATCCTGAGATTGAAATTGTATGATAAAAAATGGAAACTGCCTCAGAACAACGTATCCATATTACAGAAGATACTCCGCATAATGGCAAATCAGTAACCAAGATAACGAGTTCACCTAATATGAAATATATTGCTACGTGGAGTAGTGAAGATAACTCTGTTGTTGGGTGGTGTATTGTTGATGATCAACAACAGTTAAAGCATGAATACATGATATCACAGGACGAAGTTGATGTTGGTTATAATAAATCTCCTGAATTGTATAGGACAAGTGAATATTCTGAATTATTTACTGTTTCTGATAATAAGCTTGTTTTAATCCAAATTATCAGGTTCTGCTATTAATAAATAAGCTGCTATCTTTTCCATAGCCTGCTTTAAAATATTCTTATAAT